CTTTTTTCAGTGCCTGGTTTTGGATTTTAGGTCCAGATCCAATTCTTGATCAGCAAGATTTTCAATCACCTGAATGATTGAGATTGCTTTTTTTTTTCCCCTCTCTATTACCAGGGTGTGATGCCCTGTCATTTTCTGCTGCACAAAGAAACTTGTTTAGCAATAACAAAATTTCATTTTTTTATATAATATGAATTAAGTAATCATATGTAGCTCAGGAGTACCTGTCATGCATAACTTATAATATGAAGTATGAACCCTTATCATATATAATCATGCTATCTCTTCATCAGCAGCCCAAGCAATCCCAAGTCTATCCCATCTACTAGTCAGGCAGCTGTAGCAGCAGCAGCAGCAGCCGTAATATTAGACTATACGAACAATGTCATCAAGTAGAAGAATACTAAGTTGTTTATTGTTCTCTTGTATTTGTTACTATGTGATTCAACTCTCTAGAGGGTGTTTCATGCTGTGGTTTGACAGAGCTTTTTAATGCTTGTTGCTTGTATCATATTAAATTTGATAATTGAGTTTGAATTATATTAAAAAGATTAAACATACTCCATATGATTATGTTATGTTATATTTATTGAACATGAAATAGTTTCCTGGTCAATATATATGTTAGGTGTTAGGTCACGTTTGATTACCAAGACAAAAAAGGTCTAAACAATAAAAATAGAGAGGATTTATCTCCATGTATTTTATTTTTAAAAAATATAGAAACTCATTTTAAAATTATTTAAAAATATATTTGGATTATTTTCTTTATCTCTTTAATCAAATATATCTTTTTTATTTTTCATGTTAACCAAACCTAACCTAACGCACCTTAGAAAACCAAGCACAAAAACCTAATACCCTACAAAACTGGACCTCCTACAAAAGGCAGCCCAAGCGAGTACCTAGGCCTATAATTGTTATCTATAACTGTGTTGAACCCAAATGCAGTGGCCCAGTAAGATTTAGACTTCATTTATTGAAAAGATTAAAATTAAATTAAAATTAAAGAATAATATAAATTATATTTTGAATTTTATATAATAGTTTAATATTTTAGATTGAAATGGTTTTTTATATAGTATTAAAGTTTTAATGATTAAATGTTCATGAATTTGAATTTTACGATTCCTATTTATTTGATAAAAAAATCAAATATAAAGTAATGTGGACTTGTGTAAATTTTAAATCCAAACAATTTTTATTTAAAAAAATATATTAAAAAATAATATAAATTATATTTTAAAATATCACTTAATAATTTCCACGCAAACTTTGTTTTTTGTATTGGAACTCAGTTCTTACACCTGCAAGCTTTCCTGATCGAATCATTAATGTTGTTGTTTTGGGTCGCAATTTGACTCTCCTATAACAATAGAGAAACGACTAGGGTTATATTTTTGAGATTGTACCATAACGGGAAAATCCTTCACTAATTCCATGCTTTAACAATCAGGAGTTTTAAGGTTCCATAGCAAAGCATTTCATTAAAAAAAATAAAAATAAAAATTACAGCATTGATAACCAATAACAATGAATTGCATGACTTGTCAGGTGTTTTTTTCATGATCCCTGTGATTGTAAAGAGATATGAATGCATATGACATGCTCTTAGAATGATGATTAACAGCAAGTTATCACAGACTTGTAATTTTATAAAGCATTGATGAAAAGTTAGTTGCTTTTACATGTGATGAAGGAATCATCGGGGATGTCAGGCTTGTGTATTAGATTATTTCAGAAATCAAACACATAAATTTATATGGTTCGATAATTTGTTTATTCCATGAAGTTATTAATTTATATCAATCAATTAAAAAAATAATATAACCAAGAAGGAGAAGAAAACACTCTTCTTTACTAAACTCACTTTCACTCAAATTTTATTTATCTTCTTCTACTCTTTCTCTCTCTCTCTGCATTACTCTCAGCTTTTTATCGAGTCTATTTATAAATTAAATTAGAAGCAAAGGACATAAATTATGATTTATATCACTATTTATATTTTAAATTAAGTCTTTATTTTATGCTAAGTAAAAAATTAGTTATTTCCATTAACATATGAGTCATTATTTGTAAAGATAACAATTTGAGTTTAATTTTTTTTTTATATTTATTCCTTAAATATTAATATATTGGAAGAAGCTCATTCTAGTAAAAATATTTTCATTCTAGATCCCACCATTGCTAGCTTGGGGTTCAATTTTTAATGGTGGGAAGGTGCAAGAAGCATTAGCTTATGCTATTGCAGTGTTCCAATGATGTTTTTTCTGAAAATTTTATGATTAAGGATTCTCCAATCATGATTAAAAATCACAAAAAACACTAGTAATTAACTAATAATATTGTTGGATTTGACGGGGGATTTAATACATCACTAACATATGATGTGCCCACTAACATTTTTTAATGGAGATTTTACAATTTAATATTGCATTTTGAGTTAGTGCATTGAATACAATGTTTGCGGCCGCTTTCTTTATGGAACATTGCATGAATTTGCTTAATGGTTTTTAAGCTTTAAATTTATGTTGTATATAATTTTTTTTTAAGGAAAAAACTATCTTCAAACTAGTTTTTATGTTAATTAAATATTTGAGATTAATTCTTTTAAAATAATCCTAAAAAAAAATCTTCTAAAATTATCTACAGCTGCATCCGTCTGACTAATTTTTGTGTTCAAAACTCAGAATGCATATTACAAGAAAAGTATTTTTTTACCTCAATAAGCAATTTTATTTCAGTGACGTGTGTCAATTTGCAAACAATGGTAAATGGCTGAAATCCTTCTTACCATATGGAGGGGATAACTTCTCATTATACACATAATAATTACAGCCATGTAATCCTATATAATAGGATGGATCAAATACAAATAATTAAAATATCCCAACAGCTATACAGGCGGATATTATGGTAACAGAGAAATGAATGCAGTGTATGTTATGGAGAACCATTCGATTCTTTCCTTATCACCCCCTTCAAGGTGAGCATGGCAGAAGGGATAACATTGAGCTTGCTTTAAAATACAAAAAAACTGAGATTTGGTGATGTTTTTTGTCAGCGAAACAACAAGCTGCAGATGTGAAGGAAAAGAATCAACTTTCAAAGTGTCATTAGCAACAAGTTTACGAACAAAATGGTAGTTGATCGCAAAATATTTTTACTGAGGAAGAACCGGATTGAGTGCCATAAAAATTGCACTTAGATTGAGGCAAAGAATTTTAGGTGGCGCTGAGAGTGTAACAAGAAGGCCCCAAAGCAATTGAATAATCCAAGCAATATGATCAACAGTGGCGATATTCTGCTTCCACGTACGCTTGAATGAGATACAATGCTTTATTTCTTGGAGGACCAAGAGATTAAGCTGGCTTAGAAAAAGATAACATATCTGGTAGTAGAATGACATGTATCAGGACATTCAGCCCAGTTCGCATCAGAATAGGCAAAAAAATCACGAGTGGACTGTTTACGAAGTTGAAGTCCATGATGAGCAGTGCCTTAAAATAGCGCAAAATATGCTTGAGAGCACGAAAATGATCCTCTGTGGAAGCATGCTTGAACTGGAAAACGGAATTTACACTGAAGAACAGTTCAGGCCCAGTGATCGTTGAGTATTGAAGAGCATCGATAAGACAATGAAAGGGTAGAGAACAACTTCCTTTCGGCTGATAGATGCTGACCAACGCTAAAAGGTGTAGAAATAGGCTTGGCATCAATCATGAAAGCACGTTGCAAGAGATCAAGAATCAGTCAGAAGCATTCAGATCTTGAATTGAGTTGGCAGAAAATGCTTCAACAAGATAAGCCGATTGCTTTTTCTTGAGTTTCAAGAAGCTCCAGCAATGTTTGGCCAAGTTTCCCTCCTTATCTCGTTACTGACAGTAAACTGAGGAGGTGGATAACGACTTTGAATTGGCAGAAGTCATAAAAGAGGTTGAAGATCGATGTTGCCATTTCTTAGTTCCTGCCGCTTTGGAAATCTGCTGTATATAATATGCAGAGTTGGAAGACGAATGGGAGACTAATCATTCAAAGATCTCATTGCTCAAAGCTTTCGGAAAAATCTCTAAGAATAAAGGGTAGCGAAAGCCGTTACATCATGGTGGTAGAGAAGATCTTATAGTCAGGTCCTAATGCTCATAAATACCATACCAGTGGACTTTATGTGTCGTCAATGGGATGACCAATAGCAGCCATTTAGTCGCAAAGACCTTTGAAGGTTCAAGAAAACTCAGTAATGGACTGAGAGCCGTGTTGCATCAGCTGGAGTTCATCCTTGAGTTGTAGTTCTCGAGTCTTTGACCGATGCAATAATGAGTCTTCAAGAGCGCACCAAGCCTCGTGGGAATGACGTAAACCCAGTACCTCATTCATAGACTCCTCTGTAAGAGAAGAATAAACTGAGCAACGTCTGATGAGTATGCAGCCAAGGGGTACAAGTAGGACTTGACTTTATGGTGCCATCAGAGGCAGTGATCATGTTAGAAAGAGCTGTAACAGGCAAAAAGCTCTTGACTAGCTAATAGAGGAACAAACTGGTTTCTCCACAACATGTAATTGGAGGATATATGCACCATTGTGTTGAGCGGAAGATCGTAGGAGATAAAAAAGACGAATCAACCATGATGAGGATCGGAAAGAAAAACCCCAGCTCTGATACAAATAAAGGTGTTTGACAAACAATGGTAAATGGCTGAAATCCCACTTGTGTAGGAACCATGGTTCAAATCTTTTTTTCTAATGAAGTTGTTACATTAAGCACACAGACCAGTTTATTAAATTTCTCTAAATACACAAGATAGAAGTGTATCTTTAAGATCACAAGTGAAGAATTTTAGTCTCGATTGATAGATACTTCAGTACTTCATTAATGTAAAGATGAACCGAAAAGGGGAAAAAAAAGACCTTCATTACTATAAGAATCATCACGATTAGCACACACTTTTATTTCTACAGGTAGGGATTACCCAGGTAGAGAAACAAAGGAAATTACAATCTCAGCCATTTTTCTCACAATCCTCTGGACCAAAACTCAGGACTCGAGCTTTAGTATCGTACACGAACTTTTGCATCATTTGCTGATAAGCACCAATTATGGTCTTAGAATCATCAGAAAGCATTGACAAGCAGAAAACATTTTTTCCCTCGAACTCACGGAACAAGAAGATGGCTTCAGGTTTAACGTCAAGGTCAGCATTCTCCCAATGGAATGTAACAACAGGAAGGTTCTTGCGGCCGGCATCCGATAATTGTTCATAGCAAAGATCCTTGTGCAAATTGTGAATGACCCGTCTCTTCAGGTTTTGATTGCTTGACAAATGATCTGCCAAAGCTGCGTGTAGTGTATCAAAAATAGGTTTGACAAGTAATGTGGCCAGGGTACCAGCATCTATGATGCATCCTCTGCTACCATCTTTTCTCACAGCAAGATCGGTTTTGGTGATGTTAAGCTTCACCCCATTAACACTTACGCCTAGCAAATTCACATGATAAGCCGCGGAGGGCTTGACTTGCATTATTTTTGTAGTTCGTAAATTTTCTGATTTTACAATATGTTTGCCAAACCTTAAATAGGTATTGCGTGTGTTGTTTGCTGTGATGCAATATGAGAACTTTCCATGACTGATTGAGCCTAGTTGTGCTAGAAAAGATCGAGGACCCCATCCCATACCCAAAACCCCACTCACCGGATTTTTGTCAAGCAAGAAAGCATATATCATGTTTCTACTATCGGTGCTGCATCCAAAACTAATGCTCTTGAGAGCTGTATGTTTGCCATGGTTAGAATAGAAAGTGAAAGTTTCATTAGCAAGATTCCCACTTGTGTAGGAACCTGGACCACAGGTTATATTATAGGCACATAAGCCTTCTTTGCATTGGTTTGGCTCGCAGGAGTGTTGATTGCAAGATACAGGCTTGTAAGATTTGGATTGAGAACTGGGGTATGGATGATCCTTATGAGGGAAGCACATGTTGCCTTTATTTTGGCAACCTTCACATTGAATCCAAGAGAGCTCATTACCAGTGTCTACTTGAAAGTAGTAGGTTTTGAAATGTGTACGATGAGATTTTTCTTGGAAGGAGCCAACCCCAACTTGTGCCAAGAACAAAAAGGGGTCACCATAGGAAGTGAGAGGACTCACCATCCTGTTCATGACAGCTTTATTTGTTGACATCATGCTGGTTTGGTGGTGCAACCCAGCAAAAGGGCAAGCAGCTGGCTGTAGAATGTGCTCACCAGGAGGAAGATTACTAGGGTAAAGAGGGGATTGTGGGGAGTCTTTGTGGATGAGCTCCATGGTTAAGCCATCAAGTTGAATTGTTGCAATGCAACCCAGCATCATGGATGAGAGAAAGAAGTGAAAAATGAAGGAAAATTTTAGGGACATTTTACAGACTAGATAGAGACTCAAGACGGATTCTGATGGAGAATTATGACAAGTACGAGACTATAAGTATGTATTTTGCAAATCAATCTTGTATGGCATCCCTAGAGACAAAGGTTGTCAACATTTTCTTGTTGCTAGCTTAATTTTGGATTGTTGTTAATTATTATATCATTGAAAGTGAATCTGGAGACCAGATACTGGCTTTCAATGCCCATTAATGTTTAACTAAATAGAGCTGCTGCAAAAACTGAAAGATTATCCGTTTGGTGCAACCTGATATATCACTATATATCCCACCTAACTTTTTTTAAAAGAAAAAAATCTAGTAGATAAACTATTTTGATATGTTTTTTTTTGTTATAAAAAAATTTTAAAGTATAAATTGAAAATATTATACATACACACACACACACACACAAAAACTGCATTTGCATTCATATTTTCCAAGTTCGATATGAAATCTGGATTCTGGCAAATCCAGATTGATCTCAAAGATAGATACAAAACTGCTTTCATGGTTCCTTTCGGCCAATACGAATGGAATGTTATGCCATTTGGACTAAAAAATGCTCCTTCTGAATTCCAACGCATCATGAATGACATATTTAATGCACACTTAAAATTTTGCATTGTTTACATTGATGATGTTCTTATTTTTTCACATTCTATAGATCAACATTTTAAACATCTACATGTTTTCTTTCATACTGCTAAACAAAATGGTTTAGTTATTTCTAAGACAAAAATCTCCCTCTTCCAAACTCGTGTCCGTTTCCTAGGCCATTATATATGCCAAGGCACTGTCACACCAATAGAGAGGTCCCTTCCCTTTACCAACAAATTTCCTGATAAGATCACCGATAAAACCCAATTACAAAGGTTCTTATGCAGTTTTAATTATGTTCTAGACTACTACCCTAATATTAGTCGTCTAGCCAAACCTTTACATGGCCGATTAAAAACAAATCCCATC